TATAGAGTAGCTGGAGGCCAGCTAGTCTATAGAGTAGCTGGAGGCCAGCTAGTCTATATAGAGTCGCTGGAGGCCAGCTGGTCTATATAGAGTCGCTGGAGGCCCTCTGGTCTATATAGAGTAGCTGAAGGGCCCTCTGGTCTATATAGAGTAGCTGAAGGGCCCTCTGGTCTATATAGAGTAGCTGAAGGGCCCTCTGGTCTATATAGAGTAGCTGAAGGGCCCTCTGGTCTATATAGAGTCGCTGGAGGCCAGCTGGTTTATATAGAGTCGCTGGAGGCCAGCTGGTCTATATAGAGTCGCTGGAGGCCAGCTGGTCTATATAGAGTCGCTGGAGGCCAGCTGGTCTATATAGAGTCGCTGGAGGCCAGCTGGTCTATATAGAGTCGCTGGAGGCCAGCTGGTCTATATAGAGTCGCTGGAGGCCAGCTGGTCTATATAGAGTCGCTGGAGGCCAGCTGGTCTATATAGAGTCGCTGGAGGCCAGCTGGTCAATATAGAGTAGCTAGAGGCCAGCTGGTCTATATAGAGTAGCTGGAGGCCAGCTGGTCTATATAGAGTAGCTGGAGGCCAGCTAGTCTATATAGAGTCGCTGGAGGCCAGCTGGTCTATATAGAGTCGCTGGAGGCCCTCTGGTCTATATAGAGTCGCTGGAGGCCCTCTGGTCTATATAGAGTAGCTGAAGGGCCCTCTGGTCTATATAGAGTAGCTGAAGGGCCCTCTGGTCTATATAGAGTAGCTGAAGGGCCCTCTGGTCTATATTGAGTAGCTGAAGGGCCCTCTGGTCTATATAGAGTAGCTGGAGGCCAGCTGGTCAATATAGAGTCGCTGGAGGCCAGCTGGTCTATATAGAGTAGCTGGAGGCCAGCTGGTCTATATAGAGTAGCTGGAGGCCAGCTGGTCTATATAGAGTCGCTGGAGGCCAGCTGGTCTATATAGAGTCGCTGGAGGCCAGCTGGTTTATATAGAGTCGCTGGAGGCCAGCTGGTTTATATAGAGTCGCTGGAGGCCAGCTGGTCTATATAGAGTCGCTGGAGGCCAGCTGGTCTATATAGAGTCGCTGGAGGCCAGCTGGTCTATATAGAGTCGCTGGAGGCCAGCTGGTCTATATAGAGTCGCTGGAGGCCAGCTGGTCTATATAGAGTCGCTGGAGGCCAGCTGGTCTATATAGAGTCGCTGGAGGCCAGCTGGTCAATATAGAGTAGCTAGAGGCCAGCTGGTCTATATAGAGTAGCTGGAGGCCAGCTGGTCTATATAGAGTAGCTGGAGGCCAGCTAGTCTATATAGAGTCGCTGGAGGCCAGCTGGTCTATATAGAGTCGCTGGAGGCCCTCTGGTCTATATAGAGTCGCTGGAGGCCCTCTGGTCTATATAGAGTAGCTGAAGGGCCCTCTGGTCTATATAGAGTAGCTGAAGGGCCCTCTGGTCTATATAGAGTAGCTGAAGGGCCCTCTGGTCTATATAGAGTAGCTGAAGGGCCCTCTGGTCTATATAGAGTAGCTGGAGGCCAGCTGGTCAATATAGAGTCGCTGGAGGCCAGCTGGTCTATATAGAGTAGCTGGAGGCCAGCTGGTCTATATAGAGTCGCTGGAGGCCAGCTGGTCTATATAGAGTCGCTGGAGGCCAGCTGGTTTATATAGAGTCGCTGGAGGCCAGCTGGTCTATATAGAGTCGCTGGAGGCCAGCTGGTCTATATAGAGTCGCTGGAGGCCAGCTGGTCTATATAGAGTCGCTGGAGGCCAGCTGGTCTATATAGAGTCGCTGGAGGCCAGCTGGTCTATATAGAGTCGCTGGAGGCCAGCTGGTCTATATAGAGTCGCTGGAGGCCAGCTGGTCTATATAGAGTCGCTGGAGGCCAGAGTCACTGGAGGCCAGCTGGTCTATATAGAGTCGCTGGAGGCCAGCTGGTCGAAATAGACCTGCTGGAGCCTGTCCAGGGAGAATTTATAGCTAAGTTTTTAGATATTTAAAAAAATCAAATTTGGAATTATTTCTTGGTTTTTGTGACCTTCCCCACCATGAATCCACATAGCTCAACATTTTTTCAACACCAACGATAGTTACAAGAAAAGAAACCCGAAAATAAAACTGAAATGTATTTTATTAGAAACAAAATAAAGGAAAAAAAGAAAACATACGTTGTGCCTAAGCATCAATCAATATAATTAACAAAAAAAAAAAGAAAAATTAACAAAAAAAACTCATGAAAAATAGAACATAATAGAGGCAGTTATATAGGAATGGTTCAAATATTTAGCAAAACAAAAGAGATAGGAATGCAAAAAAGAAGAACAAAACAAATAATAAAAAAACTGGAGACTGGACGCGCGGTGTTCATGAGCTAACAATAGCCCTCTGGTTATTATAATTCGATGAATTTAGTTAATAATGTTTTTTATATATTTCAAAGAATTAAAAAAAATGATTTTTTTCCAATGGACTCTCTCTTTAGTTTCACACACACACACACACTAGCCCTTAAGTTCCTAAAGACAAAAAGAAAACAAAAATTAAAAATTGAAATTTTTTATTAAATAATTTCATAATTAAAAGGAAAATAAAAAAAAACAATTATCAAAACCGGAATGCTGAAAATTAAGGTATATTAATTTAAAATTTATTATAAAATATTTCTTATTATTATTAAAAAAAAAATAAAACAATGAAATATGTATTTGTTTATTTATAACAATCAATAATTTAAAAAAATGAACAGCAGCAACAACAAAACAATTGGCAAATAAATAATATTACAAAAATAAAAAATTATATTTGTAAGCTATTATTTCAAAAAATGGCAACAACAAATTAATAAAAAAACAAACAAACAACAACAATAAAAAAGTACATGTATAAAACAAATGGAATAAATAAAATACAATAATGAGAAGAAAGAGGAGCTTGTTTAATTCAAAACACACGGAATGATTGGTGGGGAAGTAGGTAGAAAGGCTCTTTGTAGGCGAGTTGAAGGGTCGGAGGTCCTCACTTCACTTGTGGGCAGTAACTCCTATTTACTATCTCGAAGAGGAGCTAAGCAGTCACTAATGGCATAAAAACGCTGTTAACAAGTCAGTCTTTATTCACCAGCTGAAGGCCTAGGAGACTAGTAAATGCTCGAACCTTAAGAAAACTCACATTTACAACTCCCCCCCCCCCAACCAATCATTTAACTTAAATTAAAAATACCCCTCCTTATAAAGAAAAGCCCTCAGAAACACCCCTTGTGAATTTTTTTAATTTTTTTAAATTTATTGAATGAAAGCAAAAATATCGGAAATAGCATCAAATCAAGAATATGTTTAGATTTGTTCGAATTGGTCATCTTTGGCACGAATTATGGCCTTCAAACGGCCAATGAAACCGTCACACGCTGCACGAATGTTGCTCTGCGATATTTTGGTCCATTCCCGGCAAAGCGCTTGCTTGAGGTGATCGACACTTTGATATTTGTTAGTGCCAACCTTGCTTTCCAAAATTCTCCAGACACATTAGTCCAACGGATTGGTATCCGGAGATTTTGGTGGCCATTGTGGGCTGGAAATGAAGCGAGGAACCTAATTTTATAACTATTCTTGGGTGGCGCGTGCTGAGTCCTGTTAGAATGACCAAGGTCTGCGGCCAAAATGTTTGGGTGCCCGAGGCTTTATTACACCCTCTAAAGTATTTTCGCGATAATATTCGACATTTATTCTGATGCCACGGTCGATTAATATGAGCGGATTTTATGCCTGAGTTATGCTTGAGTTCTGGTGGCCAACCGAAGGTGCACATATTCACCTCTCTCACCTCTTTGGCAAGTAAACATGATCGTTTTTTCGGCAGTTCACCACTTTCATAAAACGCAAAATTAACGTCGGACTCTATTCAGACTTGGTACATCTCAATATTTTCATTAACTCAAGATCTGTTATAAAGATGGTAGAAATCGGACCATTCCTTCTGGTACCTCTCCCACAAAGGGTCAAAGTTTCCCATAACTAAAACGATCATAAAATTCGAAATAAGCATCCGGTTCTCTTCATATATCACACATCCAATTATTTCTACTAACCCAGGGTCTGAAGTGAAGATGGAATATATCGATCCACTGCTTCTGGTACCTCCCCCACAAAGGTTCAAAATGTTGAATAACCATGAAGCTCATAAAACGCGAAATTAACATCCGATTCCATTCAGACTTGGCACATCTCAATACTTCCGTCAACACAAGATCTGTTGAAAATATGGTAGAGATCGGACCATTCCTTCTGGTACCTCGCCCGCATATGGCTCAAGATTTTGAAAAACAAAACGCTCAAAGAAAGAGAGATAAGCATCCTACTCCCTTCGAATTTCACACATACAAACATTCTTGCCAACGCAACATCTATTGTGAAGATGATATATATCTGCCAACCCCTTCTGGTACCTCACCCACAAAGGTTCACAATTTCCAATACTTTTATCTGCCATACCATGCGAAACAAGTCGGCTATTCTTTACAAATTGCTATATCTAAATTTTTCTCTTAACCAGAAATCTGATATGAATATGGAATTCGTGATTTCGCATAAAATTGCATATAAATGTTCGATTTCTTTCAACTTTAGCCCATACCAATATATTATAGCTGTATTAGATGAGGTATGAAAATGGAATACTTCAGTCCGCTATATCTGTTACCTCATATTTCCACATTTTCCAAAAATTTGCACATAACTCAAATAAAGTATAGGAATTAATCTATATAGTCCAAATCTGACACGTTGTAATATTTATATCACTCTTAGGTCAGATACGTATTGCTAAATATTGGCCAACTGCTTCGGAACATCCTCTATAAAGGGTCAACAGTTTGAATAATCGTAACTCAAGGCTGGGGGTATACATCTGTCGGCAAAACCGACTGATACTATTTTACTTGTTTCAAGAACATTTGATCAAAAGCTCTATAGACCCAAAAGGCGACCAGGGGATTCTGTCTCTATACAGACATGGGGCCTAATTAAAAAAACGCTATTTAATTTTATGCAAAATGCACGCTCTTTTGAATTTATTTATTAATTTAAAATTACATTTAAAACATTATGATGTAATGTTAATACAATTCGAAATAGATGTAAGTGTTAGGCAGATGTAATCATTTTTTTTCGTAATAATTTCTCTGACGTTAGATGTGGTGGTTTAATTTAAAAAATATATCAGCTATTATTAATAGAAATCAATAATGTTGTTACAACACAAAATATTTCTCTTGAATGGGCAATTCCTAATGAAACTCATAACAGTATGGGAACCATTGATGAAACAACATGCCGTTGTCCTCCACCACATTTACTTGACACGCCGTGACGCATCCGAAGCTGTGGGCGGTGGCGGAGGTCCACGTTTGTGTAATTCTTCTAAATAGTTTACCACAATGGTGGTACGTTCCTCAGCAATGTGTTCCAATATCAGATACCTTTGGACATGGAAAAGAATATTGAATTAAAAGTAATCAAAAAGAGAAATTAAAGTCCTACACACCTCTTATCCATTTTCAGGATATCAAGTATCTCCTTAAGATGATTGGGATTTTCCTGTACCAATTCATGACTTTTGTGTGTGATGAGTTTACATTCTTTGAGTAGCTCCTTGAGCGCCACCTTCGCTGCCATTTGTTTGTCAACCAAATAGTCACGGAATTCGCGTTCACATTTTTCCGAATTATTATATTTTAAGTAGCGGGGATCATCTTTGATAAGTTTCTTAACATCCTTCCAACTGCTGGTCAGTTCGAGGGTGGTAATTTCATCGAGCATTTCACGGAATTTTTCACGTTTCTTTTTCATCAGACCATCAATGTGTTCGTTGAAAATTCTGAAAAAAAAAATATCCAAAAAATTGGTTCATGGTTGAGAAAGAGTGTTTAAAGTTTTCAGACGAGTTAGAAACAGCGTACAGTCTTTACAGTCTTCTCAAGACGGGTATGAAGCAATACGTCTTCTCTAGACGAGTATGGAGCAACTTGTCTTCTCTGGACGAGTTTGAAACAACTTCTCTGCTATAGAAGAGTTTGAAACAACTCATCTTCTAAAGACGGGGTCTGAAACACCTCCACTTCTATAACGAGTGTGGAACAACTCGTCTTCTATAGACGAGTGTGGAACACCTCCACTTCTGTAGATGAGTTTGAAGCAACTCATCTTCTATAGAGGAGTTTGAAACAACAACGCAGAGACCCGTATAGACGAGCTAAAGATCATGGAGTGTTCAACGATAAACTGTCACAGACATCAATCCTCTGTATATACAGGGTGAGATGAAAAAACTGCAACCAATATCAGACTGCTGTCATTTCTAAGCCACTCGTCCAACAGCTGTTAAAATTATTCCAATGACAGCTCATTATATTGTTTACAAGCATACAAAAGCATTTTGGTGAGAATTTTCCACAAAAAAAAGTTATTCGAGATGGACGATGGATTCAAGCGTGATAGTGTGACTTCTTTATATTTGGCTGGAGAACCATAAGTTAGAGAACTCCAGCATTTAAATGTGAATAAATCTTTTGTGTCTCGTTGCGTAGCCCGGCGTCAAGGAAGCGAAAGTGGACGGAAGAAAACAGCATCATCAGCAGAAATGATTCGAAAAGTAAAGAAGCGACTTGATCAAACCCCTTGTCGCGTCGCAGTGACCGAAAAATGGCTCCATTCGCTCCAAATATTGGAAAATGAGCTCGGGGTAAAGCCATTGGAATTCCAAAAAGTGCAAGAACTTACCCCGCAACGGAAAGAAAATAGACTCAAAAGAGCTAAAGAGTTGCTTCGCATGGCCGAAAGTGGTGAACTGCCGAATTTGGTTTGGTCTCCGATGAGAAAACATTCGGTGTCCAGCTGTTTGTAAACAGCAACAAAATGATCGTGTTTCCTTGCCAAAGAGGTCAGCTGAAAATGTGCACCTTCGGTTGGCTACCAGAACTCAAACGCCGGCCATGGTGATGGTGTGGACCGCCATAACAGCCGACGGTCGCTCTCCGCTCGTATTAATCGACCGTGACATCAGAATAAATGCCTAAGATTATCATGAAAATATTCTGGAGGGTGTATTAAAGCCTTGGGCTGGCAAACATTTTGGCCGCATACCTTGGACATTCCAACAGAACTCAGCACCGTCGCACTCAACACGCGCGACCCAAGAATGGTTACAAAATGAGGTTCCTCGCTTCATTTCCAGCGCACAATGGCCAGCGCAAAATCTCCGGATACCAATCCGTTGGACTTTTGTGTCTAGAGTATTTTGGAAAGCAAGGTTGGCACTAAAAAATACCAAAGTGTCGATCATCTCAAGCAAGCGTTTCGCCGGGAATGGGCAAATACCACAGAGCAACTTTCGGGCAGCGTGTGACGGTCTTATTGGCCGTTTAAAGGCCATAATTCATGCCTAAGGTGACCAAACTTATTCTAATATTTGATGCTATTTCCGACATTTTTTGCTTTCATTCAATTAAATTTAAAAAAAATGTAAAAATTATGGCGTTTAATTTTTTTATCTCACCCTGTACAGGCAGAACGGTCAGTTAGTCTCTACAGATGAGTTGATCGGCTCAGAGCCTCTGCATCTAATATTTGATGCTATTTCCGACATTTTTTGCTTTCATTCAATTAAATTAAAAAAAATGTAAAAATTATGGCGTTTGAGTTTTTTATCTCACCCTGTACAGGCAGAACGGTCAGTTAGTCTCTACAGATGAGTTGATCGGCTCAGAGCCTCTGCAGATGAGCTAGGGGAAATGGAGCTGGTAAAAATGGGACAAAGAGACCGAAAGTCTGCATAGACAAAACTGTAAGGGAGTCTGTTAGAATAGAGCAGAGGTTCTATGCAGACAAGCTACAGACGAAGACGAGCTAAAAGACCAGACGAGCTAAAAGATCAAGTCTGTAGAGTAGAGAAGAGACTGAAGTTGGGTGTCTGAAAAGCTGGTTTGTGAGGGACAGTTTTATTGTTGTCTGCTTAGAAAGGTCTCCAGAAGGTTTATAGGAAACCTCCCTAAGATTTACGGGGTTTAGATGATCTCATAGTGACACCCACCCCCCTCCTAACTATAGAGGATCATTTGAAGGTTTTCCATAAATAAAATTATCATATTTATCTTTGCCAAAAATCTTCTAGAAGTCTTCTATGGTTACATGGTCAGCAGGGAACTTCCTATTGAAAATCAATTCTCAAACAATTTTGCCATAAAAAAAAAGGAGGAGTCCTTTCATTAATTGAAGGTTTATAAATTCGATATTTTGCAGAATGTTTGTATTGTTTTACTCTACACCTACTCACCTCTCACGATCGTCACGATCCAAGAACTCAACCAATTCCCAGCGATGATCTTTGCGCAATTGTCGTTTCACCTCCTTCCAGGTGAAATCTGGATTGCGTACCAAATCCGTTAGCAGGGCATTAAAATGGCCAACGGCCTCCTCGCGTTTGTGTAGTTCACGTTCCTTATCGCGATCACGCAAATGACCGGCCAGTGTGCGTTGTACCTCCTTTTCGCGTTCGCGTATACTTTGTTCGGCTCTCAGTTGGCGATCACGTTCCTTTTGCAGGCGCTCGGCTTCTTCCTCTTCTTCGTGGTCGGTGGTGGCAGAACGTGCCTCCTCTTCCTCGGACTGGTGTTCACCTTCCTCCTGCCGGAGATCCAAGAAAATAAAAATTATTTTAAAAATTAAAATTACAAATTTATAGCTACTCACATAATCCTTGTTTTTCTTCTTCTCCTCCCTGTCCTTATCCTTGTCGGATTTGTCTTTGCGTTCCTTTTCCTTGTCTCGGCTACTGCCGCCACCGCCATCACGTTCCTTTTCATCTCGTCCCCCACCATGATGATCTTTGTTACGACTGCGACTCCTCTCCCGCCTATCCTTGTCCTTATCCTTGCGATCACTCTTGCCCGACTTACGTTCACGCTCTCTATCCCGCTCCCGTTGTTCACGCTCCTTTTCACGTTCACGTTCACGACGCCGCTTCTCCTCCTTCATGATTCGCAGAAAATCATGGAAATACTCCTCACGATACATGGAATTTTCCACAGCCCGATAACGTGAATCCATTTCGAATTTCTTTTTAATGTCATGCCAGCGGCAATGACGATCTATGGAATCGCCACGTTCACGCAACATTTCAATGAAATCTTTGCGTATCTATACCATCATCACAAGACAGTCGATCGATGTAATCGGATAGCAGCAGGAATAGAAAAGTAGAATAAAACAAAGGCGATTAGTTTTTTTCATGGATTTGACACGAGTGTGTAGAGTGGCATTCTTATGG